CCGCCCGGTAACTTGCTCAGCGACCCCCGAGCATCGCGGCCGGCTTTTTTTTCCATGAGAAAAAGTGGGAAGGCGAGCGGCGTAAGGGAAAAGAAACCCGTCAAATGTAGCACTTGTAACCCTAGAATATGTTAATGTCAGGAGATACAAATCTGGTAATTATGCCTTTCTTGCCTGTTGTGTTCTCCATTGTTCATTAAACATTAAAGACGGGATTATTTAATTTTCCACTTAAAGATTCTCTCACGTTCCGCAAAATCATATTAATATTCAATCATTTTACCTTTTACAATGGACAAAGTTTGGGGTTTACAATGCTGTCAATGAGCTGCCTTTTTTTTTTCCCCCCTCCTCTACATCGCGCTATAAGAAAGGCACTTTTAAAACCCTCATCAAGAAATCGTCTGCTGCTGGGGGAACTACCAGGCACTGAGCGACAGAAAACGCCAAAGTTTAGGGGGGAAAAAAAAAATGTTGCCTGAGCAACAGCAACAAACCCTTTCAAAAGATGACCGGGTGAAAATTGACACATTTCTGGTACTACTGCAATTGGGGGAGAAAAAAAAATAAACGCCTGGGCGAGGTTAAAGTGCGTCCTCTCTCATTCCAAGCAAATATTTCGGTCGCAGGGGGTAGCTGAGCCCCTTCACCTAAAGCAAGTCGGAGAAAGGTACCTCTGTCGGGTTTTGAAGGAGAAGCCCTAACTCCGGCTCCCCACTCGCGGCCGCGGGTTCCCTGAACGCCCGCAGACGCTCGCTTTCACCTGCACCCTGCCTACAACAGAATGCAGCTCATCCATACGCACACGCGTAACGTGCTACTCGGGTGCGGTAAATCCCCTACTTCTGATGGAAAAAAAAAAAAACCCAAACCAAACAACCCATGCTCAGTTTATGGGCTCGTCCCCTCCCACTTCATATTCGAAAATTACACCAGATTTCAGCTATCACGATCGTCTCCAGATATTGGAAATGAGACACTCGCAGTGCGACCAAACTTTCAGCAAGGATGGGTGCACGCAGAGAAGATGCTTTAGAAATTATAGGCGGTAAACAAGTTGGGTTTTTTTAATTATAAAGCGGGCGAGCATTGCGAGGGGTCTCGTGTACACACCTCGCTAAACGAAGGAGGGAAAAGTGTGCTCCCCTAATGTCTAAAAGGCACTGATTTGGCGTTTCAGCGCTGTTTCCCTTCAGGGTCGTGCCCGTTTCTAACGAATACCTGCACCACCGAAATGGCTGATGGCATGCATGTCAGCAAACTCTCCGCACCGGCCTAAACTCTCGCCTCGAACTTTATTTGCTTTGCCTACCAACGGAAAAGCGGGGAATAAAAAAAACCCCGAAAGCCCAGAGACGCGGCAGCGCAAGGCGCGACATAAAGCGAGCTAGCGGCAGGGAAAGTTTACCCAGAGGAGTCTCCCGAAGAAGCCGGGGTTAGTGTGTTTTAAGGACTAGGGCTGGATTACAGGGGCTGGGGGGGGGGTATTAGGAGGAAATCCCTTTCACTCAGCCCC